ATGAATGGGCACGTAATATAAAATCAAACGTTTAAACCCCTTCGTGGGACACCCCGTATTTAAGTGATCACAAAACCCCCACATCCCAAGTTCCTCCCATGATCATATGGGCTTTAAATAAATGATCCTGACTAATGAAACCGCTGATCTTAGTCAGTAACAAAGCTACACAGGTCATCACACACCATTCTACACTCATCCTTCACTCACATTTGGGTTAAAATACGCACCTAGGTGGCGTCCCCATCTCAATGATTGATTGATTGATTGATTGCAAATCGGCCAACTTAAAGTATAAAAAAAATTTCCTTAATAACTAGAGGAGAATATTTAGTATTAAATTACTAGTTTATACGTAACTAGCTGTACCCACGGGCTTTGCCCCGTTTTACTTCATAAGTGAGCTCGTTCGCATGGCTCAATCAAGTCCTGGTTGAAGTTCGTTCGCTACGCTCACTCACCTTTAGGTTGGAGCTCGTTCGCTGCGCTCACTTGCCTTCAGGTTAGCTCGTTTGCTACGCTAACTCGCCTCCAGGTTGAAGTTTGTTCGCTACGCTCACTCACCTTTTGGTTGCAAATTAGCTGTAGTCATAAATAAAAAAAAATAGTGCTGCACCCTGTTGGTAATCCTTGTAACTTAAATGCTATTGCACATCATAGAACTGAACCAACTTGTTTAATTGAAACAGCTGTTAATATTCATTAATTCCATTTAAATATGAGTACTCATAAGGTTAACATGGGAAACTCCAGAGCCACTGGGGCGGAGCCCGAGAGTCCGATCAGAATAAAAATAGCTTAGTTTTCCTATTTAATACCTAAAGAATAAGTGTCCCAAATTTCAGCCTCCTAGGTAAATGGGAAGTGGGAAAATTAGTGATGAGTGAGTGAGTGAGTGTGTCAGTGAGGGCTTTGCCTTTTATATATTTATTAAGATAGATGAAACAATTTTTTTGAGACTTCTAGAATACAATATTTTCAAATGACAAATTTATTATATTTTAAATTAGCCTATTAATTTGATTTGATCTTTTAAGTGGAGTATTCACTGAGGTGTGGTTAATGAGATTTACTCAGAGGGTTGGTAAGTTGGGTTCGTATGTCGTAATAGACATACGAAAATAAGAAAATAATCTTTCTTCATCGTTGCGTAAGGAATCAAATAACATCCTGAATGCCCCAAACTCGTGCCGATTATTAATTATCGGGTGAACCCAAAATCGCCTATTATTTTCCTTCTTCTTTTTCATCACCTCCATAATAACAACCCCAGCTACATGGCTAAAACCATCTTTTGCCGTCGTGTTACATCACAAATCAACTGAACAGAAAATAATAAATACTCAGTCAGGAGTGTCATACGGCGCCGTACTAGTGTAAAGACACATTGAATGGATGAGGTTCTCCACAGTGGCTGCGTGTTTTCCTCTGAGTGTTAACACTAGGTCGTCTGCAAAGGCTTGGAGGTCCATGTCTCTCCGATCTGCCTCTCTCAAAAGGTCATTCACCTCTAAAGCCCGCAACAAGGGCGAGATGACTCCTCCTTAGGGGCAACCTTGGCGTGCTGCGATTGCTGCTTAATAGCCGCCTATATCTGCTGTCATCTCCCTGCTGTTCAGTAGAGCCTTAATCCAAGATGCTATGTCGGGGGGGGGGGGGGGGGTGATGCCCTAGCTTATGACTGCTGCATCTATCTTTGGAGTTATAGCTCACACTATCAAAAGGCACCCAGTATTTCCATGAGGGCGCACTGATTTCGAGCACGAAAACCCAAAACGCTGTGAAATCGAGCATTGCACTGAAGCGGCAATAATGGGTTCCATAATCCTATGGTGATTTCGAGCATTTGGCCTTCCTAGAACTTTAAGGATGATTTAATAGGGGAAGATGAGAAACACATTCAAATCAAACTACCACATTTATTTCCTGACCTTGTGGCCTACACACTTGACAAAAGTTAACAAATTAATGTGCGAGTCCCTCAGTTGTTTTAGTTTCAATTCGATAAACTTTTGCCGTACTAGGGCGACCTCCCTTTGCTTTGCTTCTTCTCTGCGCAACGCACTGTTCAGTCGTATGTACGTTTCGGTTTTGGCACTTTATAAATATTTCATGAAAACAAAAATGTTTGGATGAGACGACGCACAACCCATGTTGAAACGTTAGTGGAAACTCTCGCACGAGTTGGTCGTCCTACAAAGCTCAGCAAAAGCAGCTGCCCAGATCTGTGGTGGGTAAAACGCATCATCCTTGTCGATATATGTCTCCACCAAGTAATCTGCGAAGATGGCGAGTTTCTCGCATGCTGGCTGGATGGAAATGAAGTCGCAGAAAGCCTCGTCTTAAGCATTCTTGTAATAAAGTCATACGCTGCATACCGCTGCCGTTCCGAGTGTGTCCCTTACAAAGTACGTGCTGTACCTTTGAAACCCTTCTTTGTGTGAATCATTACTAAAAATGCAATATGTGTGTAAATATTATCAATTATCAATTATCAATCATTGAGATGCGGACGCCACCTAGGTGCGTATTTTAACCCAAATATGAGTGAAGGATGAGTGTAGAATGGTGTGTGATGACCTGTGTAGCTTTGTTACCGACTAAGATCAGCGGTTTCATTAGTCAGTATCATTTATTTAAAGCCCAATGATCAGGAACAGCTGGGTCCAGTTTCAAAACATCAAAAAGCTACGGACTTTTCTCAGGATCGAACCGGCGACCTTATGATTATTTATTATTATTTTTATTTTTATTTATTATGTAGGCTATTCCACAATTTTTTTTATTTAGAAGGGGTTTTTTAATCCGCGGCGCAGCTAAGCTGTATGTACTAAGCAAATTTCATCCACATTGGATTTCATTTTTCCTAGTTAAATAAACAAATATTTATTCCATTCACACTTAAATATCTCCTTAAACATGTCAGATTTATTCTCTATTTAGATACCATTACGTTTAACGTGTACTTAGTACTTTTCTGACACGGGAAACGTAATTTTGAGGGGTTTTTAGTAAAATAATAAAAGCTTAGGATGAAATAAACCAATTTTTCAAATGTGATCGAATATTTCCAAAAACAAGCAAACTACAACAGTTAACCTATTATGCAAAAGAATAACTTGAGAGTTTTAGATTTACGATGTTTTGAATTTTTGTCGTATAAATTAAATTATTTGAATCAATTTTCAATTTGAATAATTTGAAATTTTAACCATAAAAAAATACTTTTGAAAATTGTGTAAAGAGTAATAGGGAAACGGAACCCAAATTTACCCTTTAAAACCACCATAGTTCTCCGTCCCCATCGTCAGATCATGCTTGTTCACGAACTCGTTTGAATAAATTTTGATTTAGACATTTATACTCACAAGTAGGCACTATACCCATGACTTGCAACGGGGTCAGTATGCAAAAGATATAATGTTGGTTCTTTGAAAATACCTTAAAATGGTTTCACGCGCACAATTTAATTAAAAACTAAAATTGAACCATATTACTTAAATTTATAATACAGTAGTACGTTTTTGTTAACTCAGACTGTGAACACCTATTTAGGCTACCTAGGATCCAAAACCAATGATAGATGTTCTATTTCATCAATGAACAGTTAGATGCATTGTCCTTCCAGACCTGGAGGTCCCATGCTCGAAATCACCACAGGATTAGCGATCCTATTACTGCCGCTTCAGTGAGTGCTCGAAATCAGTGCACCGTTCCATGAAGATCCCTGCTAGGAATTCCTATTGTTTTAGGGTGTCTTCAATCTTTGCCACTAGGATACTTAGGGCCGTTGAAGTTGATTTGCCCTTCACAAACGCATGATGACATCCACTGAGGATACTTCTTCTAAGTAATCGTCTCTAGTGTGACGGTTAGTTACTTTTTCCATTGTCTTTAACATGAAAGACGAAAGGTATATAGACCTGTGGGACTTTGGCTGGGCTGGGTCTCTCCCTCTTTTTTCAAGAGAAATACCTCCCTTGCTTCCCTCCAACAATTGGGATATATCCTAGGGCTAAGCTGCCCCTAAACAAGGCTGTAGTCCTCGTCGTTGAGGAGGCCTTCCTCCTCTGATAGTGTCATGGCATCCCCTCCCTGAGACGGGGGCACCTCTTGTGAGGGAACGTTATGCTCTCGAGGGATAACATCTTGGGGCCTTGTAGCCACCTCAGATGAATGATCCCACGAGTAACAAGGGAATGAAGAGTCGCCCCGGGCAGAGCCCTGCTTGCCCAAGGAAGGCTGCTTGAAACTGGAGGTCGCCTAGTATCCAGCAGTCCACATACTAGCTTGGATGCAGTCCTCGGCGTATGCTGTTCCACCTTGACTTAGGGTTGATTAGATAGGGAAATGAAAGTAAAACTGAGAAAAGGATAGTTGCAGGTACATTTTTGAGTCAGGGGATAGAGAGAAATTAGTATTAAAATAGTGGACAAAAAATTGGTTCAGTAAAGAAGCCTGCCAGTTTAGCACCGTGATCCTTTGGGGGAAAGATGATGGAAGAAGCGGATCAGAGAGTGCAGAGTTGGGACGCACAATTTTTGCCCTTGAGTGAGAGAGTAGGACGGCAGTGCTTCGGGGACATACTTGCTCAGCACATGAGAAAGTGCTTGAAAACACAGTCACTTCCCAACCAAGCTCATACTTAGCTCTAGTTGTTAGGCGGGTTGGTTGGGAAGCAGTGTCTAAGTGTTTAAGTATTCTACTGAGACAAAGTATTAGTATATTATGTAGCCTTTTACAATGTATTTAAAAACATCTGAACTAGGCTATAATTTTTCTGGTAAAGCAATCTAAACACTTCATCTGAAAAAAATCCTGAATATTGAGTTTTTTTCACTATCACTCATAGCATATGCTGAACTAGACTTTGGCATTAAGAATAGTAAAATTGACTGCATATGTTCACACCTAGCCTATTTAGAAAACCTATATTTTCGAGTTTTCCCTAAAATGACTCCTTAGAAATAAATGGGCCAATTAAAAACAAAATAGACCCATTCAGACAATAGAAAATTTTATTGGTCATTCTCAAGTACAGTCATTCAAAGTAGACTTACTTGAAATGAAATAAATACATATATACATTCAACAATACAACAACATTGAGAACAGATACCACCAAAGAACTGGCACATACTTTCTCCCGTCATTAAAATGAAAATTTACTTATGTTTAGTCTACAGAAAATATTACTTACTTCGAGCTTCAGGTCACGAGACTTTATTTGGTCTTTTCATATCATAACAGAAATTGTAACATATTGGTATAGCTTCTTCTTAAAGTACATTCAATATTTTGAAAATCACAAAGAAATAAAAATATATATCTGAGAAGATTAGGTACGATGTTTTAGCTTACTTTAATTTATTGACCTCTGTTCATCCAACAAAGTATTGAGAACTTTGGAAACATTTTGACGATCAATGTCCTTAACAGAAAACAATAAAAAAAAAACATCCAGAGAAACAGTATATATATTTTTTTAAACTGTATAGTCATTAAATGTAATATTATGGTTTGTAAAATTAAATTAAATAACTTACTAATGCAATTTGTTATTTCTTTAGGTTTCTGAAACTACTTATAGGGGAAGTGTGATTAAAAACATTGATAATTGATTACAGTATTTTTACTAGTTTCCACTAAATACCCTGTATCGGTCCAGATATTACACATTATAAAAGAAAACACTTAATTGTAAATATATTAATAATTAACTACATTAGCACTGCCTACAGAATTATGAAATCATTTAATGTGCACACAAACCACGCAAGGCATCTATTCCTGATGTCTCTAATTAGAATGTAGAAAACTATGAAAAAACTAGAAATAAATATATTTTTTTAAATTGCAATACAATACTGCAAGTACAAAATATCGGTAATGTTCTTTATATGAAAACTGGTAAAAACATTTATTCTAAAATTACTAAGAATAAAAACACTGATAGAAAAATCAAATTCTCAATAACGCAAATCAGAATAGACACCTTGTTTATAACAACAATTAGATGAAGACTTTAAGCAGTACCCCACAACATGGCACTTCCAAGATCTCTTATTATTTTCAGTCTTAAACAGGCAAAGTAAAGTATTTCACGGTGAACAACTAAGCAATCATTTCTAAAACTGTTGGTTTGTCAGTCTTCCTTGCTTTATGAAGTTTTCATTTTATTGCTTTAAAATTAAATAAAGAAACAGGATGGACTCAGAAGATCACCTTGTATGACAACACTTTTTAACAATATGATTTTCTTTCAAAGTATATTTATTTCAATGACTTGGAATGCTGTTATGGCAAACAATTAATTGTTTATTTAGGGGAGGAAGTAGGCGATAGGCCCAAACACTGATATGATTCTATCGATAAAAGAATCAGATGAAACATTAAATCCATATAGATGCCATCAACAGTTTCAATTGAAGAACACATAGCTACTAACATATAGGATACAACCTTGCAAAAACTGGTACAAACTTTCATAGAGATACAACAATTATAAACACAAGAATTTATGTTGGCATTAACTAGACCTATGGTCACATCCGGACTATGCATTACTATGAAAAATACAAACAACACACGCTTACTGAGATTTACAGGTAGAAATAAAATTTTTATGTATTCCAAGTATTTATTTTGTGAAACTAGTTAACATGTGCTGTTGAACTAGAAGCAGATATATAGTTCATCAAAAGTTACCAATTATATTTTTATTTTAAGTATATTCAATAACTAGCAAAATGGATTTTTTTGATGGCTGGAGTAAATTTATAAATTTTTAACTTGTAAAATACACATTCGATGTTTATGAAGGTTAACAATTTACTTTACAAGATATCAACACAATATCCATTTTACCAGTATTTTAACATTTCTCAAAGTATAGAAATAATAATAAAAACAATGTTTACTTTATAAATTTACAAAAATATTTGATTTATCTCTTGAAATAGAATATCACATCTACAAAAACCACTCATTTGGTACAGATTGGTAGAGACTTGAGCACTCTTTATTCACTATAAAGCAGAAATCAAGAAGTACATACTTTACTATATTAAACCACAGAGAAGTAAGGTAAGGAAAAATTCAATGGTTAACTTAAGTGGTGTCTAGGGCAATGTCAATGTCCTCATGTTCTACAACGCTGACGTTGGAGGAAGACCCTGTGCCCTGTGTAAAAGGAATATCCGCACAGTGCTAGCAGGGCTCTTCCTTGCTTGTCACAAGTATATTTTTGGCACAACACACAAGAGCTGAAAGAGCACGGTTGTCCTATAAGCAAGTTTCCTCTTTACCTCACTTCTCTGTAAAAACACATTGCAGGTAAAATATCTCACTGTCTTGCAAACTCTGAGAGTAACTTTCCTACAGCCTACTTTAAAATTAGCACAAAATGTTAGGGTTAGAAAAATTGTATCTCAAATTGTAACTCATATTATTCCTAAAATTGTGAGTGGTGTGAATTTCAGTAATTCCAGCTTAAACAAATTGTATTATTTTAAATCAATTACTGAAAATATTTTATTTTCTATTAGATAAAAAGAACATGTATTTTCTATATTGTGCCGAAAAAGTGACCATTGAATTTATATTTCACCCCAATACTGTTGAATAAAAATCAAAATAAATGGAGAACAGAAGTAAAGTGCCAAATAGCAATATTTACCTTCAATGTGTTTAAAGTTTAAGGACTATATTAAATATTCTTGAGCAGATGAAGATAACCAACAGTGAGGTAAGGGGTGTTTCCTACTCTAGTGAGGGTTCCTACTCTAGTGAGGGCGTTATAACACAACATTTAGCATAAGTAAGTGTGTAACAGTCACCAGTGCTTGATGAGTGTGCCGATTCCCAAAACTACATTTAACAGTCATGGTACTTCTTTGAGCATTTCACAATTAAACATTTGCGATAGGCCTAACACAATAATATTGGTACATTAATTTGGCTTCACTGTCTGCTTATGTGCTCGCCAGTTTAGGCTTACTAGTCTATAACATGTTATGGGTGAAATTGCACACAGAAAATACAATAGCTGTGGAACAGATACATTAAAGAACCATCGACTAAGGAAAACATGTTCACAACAAAAGCTAAAATTCATTTGAAAAATATTAAAAATCACGTTCTGGTATTCCGGAGAACCTATGACAATGACCAATGCTAAGACGATCACAGACATTAATGACATTATGTAGCAACATTTACAGAAAAAGATCGAAGAATATAGAATTTAATTGGAGTTACAATACAATTTAAAAAAATAAAACCCTTCAGTTTACATGGCAATATAGGCTAAGATAATATAAATCGTTTGCCTTTTTAGATTTTCAAAGCTAATAACAAACGCAAAACATAGCCTAAATATACTAATTGCCTTTTCTATAATTTTTGATGTAATAAAGTTTTACATTTAGGACCAGATTTTTAAAGTTTGAGTTTAAGACATAGGGCTACGTATTAGCAATGATAAAAAAAAATGGAATTGTACATATATTGAAAGAATATAATATCTATCTAGTAGCCTATCTATGTTTACTTTTGCAATTTTTTATGACCGTTTTCCTACTAGCAAACATCTTTGCTATAAAATATTTAAAATTTCAAACAATCATTTAACTATAAGACTGAAGGAGTTTTTACTCATATACAAAAAATTAAGGTTTAATAGGAAGCAAAATTAAATTACACTTTATCGAAATCCAGTGATTCTTAAATAGGCCTTGTGCTGTTTAAAAGCTCAATTTGTAAATATACTGTAAGAGACTAAACAGCACTTTACTTTATTTATAAAATCTTGCAATAACATTAACATTATCTAATTTAGTATTTAAATACCATGCGTAAATGTATTTTCAAACATTTATACATATCAACCCAAGTTAAACTGTTAAAACCCAATAATAATTGACATGCAAGTGCTTGAAACATACATTTCCTACTTTATTCCAAAACTAATTAATGAAGATAATAATTTTCAAAAGGAAAGCTATAAGGCACCGCCCCTGATATTAGTGCCATTGTTATGGGTGGAAAACCTAATTTACAAACTACTGTTAAAACAGTAAAAGGAGACAAATACATGTGAAAATATGGTTTTTAGGCACTTTAAAGGTTTAAAGAAGCCCATGAAAATTTAAGTAACATTGACTTGGTGTACTGTGTTTTTAAAAAAACAATGTTAACTTTGAAGAGTTTTACATTATCAAGTTAAAGAGATACATCCTGTGAAGACTAGTGCCCCAGTGTCAAAAAAGTGAACTAAAATCTAATCATCCTTTAAAAAATAGCAGTGTTAATTAAAGAGAATAATTATTATTGTTGAAACCAAACTAAACTACAAAAACAATTAAATGCTGCACATGCTTTTAAAACAGTTTCACTTTTGAAGCTATCACAAATGTGTTAAAGCGGTTATACACATTGTTTTTATCTAATGAAAATGAATCTTACACTTATTAAGAAAAGTTGAAGAAAGACAAAATAAATTCTACTGAAGAATGGGAAAAGCTAATGTGCATCGTGTTATGAATTATGATGTCATATTGATAATCCATTTATGTAGTCCTATAAATGGGTTGTAGCTGATAGGTAAAGCAGACTGTTAATTTTGTTTCTAAGATAAAGATCAGAAAATAAAATAACAAGAAAAATATTATATAAAGTTATTACAGTATAAGTTTTTAAAAGTGTCTAAATATATTAATAGTTTTCACCTTTACCTGAGGGATTTTAATTTATCTTAGTGACAAACATTTTTAAGGTTTGACTTTTTTACCCTGAGAAATTAACACATATACACAAACTCAACATATGCATTATTGTGGTCCCAACCTTTTTACCATGCCACAAAAGAATACACTTTTGAAGGACAAATCCACAGTTTATAAAGCAATACTTATTTAAGACGCCCTGAATGCTGTTCCTATGTTTCAGTTTGTTTAATAAAAAGGCACTAGGTGCCTTTCTACTGATTCACAACAAGCAAGTTGATCCTGGAAAAAGTGTTAAGGCTCCTCCTACAAAGCGCGAGGCTTATCAAACTTAATATACACACGTTTTTATTTTTATCATTGACCATAATTTCTACAGATAAAGCTCTTAATTTTTAACCAACGTTTAATCTGTTGAGGATAGATGTTCACTATCGTAACGTAATCTCTTTCTTTACTGGTTTTACATAACTTTGGACAGCAGTTGTTAAAATCAACTTAACTTTACTTCGTTTTTTGATTTGCTCAACAATAATTATAAGTGTATTTGACGTATTGTATGATGTTCAAGCATACAAACACTCATGCAAGTGACAGAGAATAGTACAGCAAACGTGTTAAAGTGAAAAACTCATTATACAAGATAAGCCATGAAAAACAAACTATGCTCCAGTGAGTATTTAAGGTTAATTTCAATTTGTGCTCAAAACACATCAGCACACAAGACTCAAGTCACTCAGGTGGTAGTGGACCTCAAACGTTAAATCTAACAAACCCTGTAGTAAATGGGCCTTGTTCCTCAAATAACTACACTATCTGTAAACAAACTTCACAAAATTATATTTTCAAGGGAATAATTGGGCCTATTTAATTTATACTTACTAACTATAAAATTACTCTTACAAAGTATCTTCATACAAAAATATAAACTAGGTAGGCTATATAATAAAATACCTACATCTCCATATCAACAACAATTTACATATATAATAAAATTTTAGAAATATTTAAACCGTAATAGTAAACCGTTTATTTACAACTTTCTAGCATTTAACATTCAAGCAAAACAGTAAATTATCAACATAAACGTAATAAGAAATAAATAACGAGTTTCAGTGATAAAGTTGTTGCTTTCATTTTTTAACCAAGCTTTTAAAATATTCTAATTATTGAATATTTTCATTCCGCTTTTTATACGTTCCAGAATTTAACTGAAACCATTACATTTTTATACTTGTCTATCAAGTCAATTTGTTATAAGATTCAAATAAATTAAGACATTTAACATATAGAATAACAAATTTATAAAAAATACATTAAACACTAAGTAACACCATAAATAAGCCTTTGCAGCCACTACAAAGGGGGGGGGTACAATCTATTGAGCAACAGTAGTGGTAGCAGCCGCGGCGGAGGGGGAGGGGGTGTTGGAGGGGAGAGTGACGGGTTTAGTGGGGGGATCACCCGGACGCCAACCCGTGGAGCGAGGCCCGAACTGGTACACCAGACGAATCTTCTCCACCGGCAACAAGTAACCTTTCTTGTAGTTTTGCCTGCAAAGAAACGAGAATATCATAAAGTGGTAGAGGCTTTTCAACATTTACAAAAAGAAATAATCAATACTTTTTTATACTGTACTATGTGACGTGTACTACTCAGGCTATCCAGAAAGTAAAGAACGTTTCGTTATGACGCCGCTAGGCGCGCGCCGATCTCGTACATTTTGGTGCGTGCGTACTCGGCAACGATTAAAAGAAAATACACATTTTCAAGGTTAGCATAAATACTTTTCTTGAATTGTAAATACTGTACTAAAACATCTAGAAAAATCACTATCCAAAAACGTTATTGAAAAATAAACTCATTTATAAAATTTTACCTAAATTACAAAATAAAGAAATCCGCAATCAGATGGCAGCGTAGTAATATCCCTTTGTCTACTCTCAGTAAAAGCACAACTATCTTAGTTGTTTTATTAATAGTTTTACTATGGCATTTCATGGCATTGGGGAGCGAGATGGTGTAGTGGTTAGAGCACAAGACTTCTGTCCCTGGGGTCCTGGGTTCAAATCCCGCCAAATCACCAATGATTTTATTTAAGTGATAATGCCGCAACCCCTAGGTCTAGCCTAAAGTAATGTGAAAAACAATCCCGGGCTCGTGCCTAGCGTCTTAGGACAAAAAAAAAAACTTCGGCATTTCAATCTTGCCTAGTTCAGTTTCCAATCAATGCCAGTTTGACTATTCGACTGTTTTATTTCTCACAAACCTGATGGATCTACTGAAGTTTTCAAAGTTCATGCGAGGGTTTCCCCGCTTGCAGCCCCACAGCTTGGCAACTTGGTCTCCGCTTCGAAAGCGAAACAACCCTTTCTCTCGATCTTCCCATGAGATCACTTTGGGGTTGTATTTTGGGTCCATGATTAGATCACGTATAAATTCCCAAACTCTACCCACCTTACCTGAGGACAGATACATTGTTTATCATGAGTATATTGTGGCACTACAGACAACACGTAACAGAGTGGCCACTTAACTCCTGGGGAAAATCAACACAAATTCTCCGGCAGCAAAACCTGGTTTTCCAAGCGTACCTTTTTACTAGGTGTCTGTAGGTCCCCAAATGTTTAGAATGGGATGGGTCATCAGATGGCCTGAGAGATCAGTTCGAGCCAAAAACTGTTGAGCTGTAATTGATTTTGCCGTAACCACGGATGATGTTCCCTCATTTTATTATGACCTCGGAAGATGATCACAATGTTGACGTCACCACAGCAAATTTACACGTAATTAAAACACATTTGAATTAAAAATGAATTTTGTTGAACGTTTTTTCAAGCCATAAACTGAACAAGCACTACGATAAACTCTCGATTAACCGAGGTTGTTGAGACCAAGACTACCTCGATTACTGACACTCTCGGATAAAACGGAGGTCTCTTATATTTTAAGTTTAGGGGTTTGACCACATTAGGAAGTCAAATTCTTGGTAAAATATAATATATAATATTTTTTAACAGAACATAAGAAATTCTGTCGAACAGCATCAGGGTAAACTATCAGGCACACATTCACACACTTATCCACTGTTTTTCAACAGGCATTAGAAAATCGTGAACATCAGGAACTGGGATGCAACCCATTTTAAAATTCCTGCAACTTACTTTCAGACCATGGGTTCAAATCCTTAAATTCACTTCTGCACAATCCTCATCATGATAAAAATCAAACAATCTTCATGATAAAAAGGAATAATTTAATTTATATTTTGGGTAGAAACAATACCTTTTACTTTGTCCTTTTTGTGTAAACTTCGTGGTCTTCCAGGTTTCCTTTTCACTTTTTTGTAACTCTCTTCTTGGTCACTCTGAATTTCATCATTGGTCTCTGAATTGTAACCATGGTCCATCGCTGTAATGCAGGATTATACATATTATTGTACAATATTTACACCAGTAATAAATTTTACTTTTCATGAAACCATTTCATTCATCAATTCCTTATAAGTAGTTGATATTTTGTTTTCAAGGTATACTTTGTTTTATGTACTCAAATTAGTTTTAAAAATAAACTGAAAGATTGAGTTTGGCTCTTTTGATGATAATACATCATCAATATTGACCAAGTTAGTTGATAACTGGAACTTTGACTACTATTTTGACACGTATCGTTATTTCTTTAACAAATACCCTAAGTAATCTGAATTAGATGTGTTCAAGTTCCCCTTTGAAGTACAAAATAAAGTTAAAAATATAGACCTTTGGCAGAATGCCAGGAATAAACTTTAACTACACACTCAATTACAGACTTTGGTAGCAGCTTGCATTAGCTAAAGCTAAGGTCAACAATGTACACAAGTGATCCATTATCTCTCAAAGCTACATAACATAACAGTGCATTTGCATTGTGATTTCCAGGGTGTAAGGTTTGAAAACAAAAACAGAAACCATAAATACACTTGTATTAGCACTATGTTAGTTACATTCAATACAGAATATAAAAAATACTGAAACCATGGAACGGAACTGAGTTTTAGATACATTTGAAATTAATTGACAATAGTAGAATAGTTTGGAAATTTACCAGTTAAGATTTAGACATTACTTCCTTACATGAAGGATACATTTTTGCTTTTGCATTTTTAAAGTTTATACTATTAAAACAAAGCTGCATATTATTTTACTTCTTTTTGTTGTACTATAGCACACTTTCAAGCACTATGTATACACTCCAATGTTGAAAGTAGCAATAGTACATTATAGACTACTAGTGGTAATGTTGAAATGACTAACCAGAACCCTCAACTCCTTTGGTGTGTTCAGAGTCAGCAGCTGACGCGACAGAGTCTTGAGTGTTTTCCACACAACAACTGTCTCTAGACGCCGGACGCTGAGGAGAGCACTCCACTTCTTGTGCGATGGTCTCCGCTGTATCAGGGGGAAGGGGATCAGACTCATTCTCTTGTTTGATAACCGAGCTGGTGTGTTTCACACAATCTTTTGTTAAATTCAGTATTGAGAAATTGCTTTTGGAAACTGAACACTGACTCTTTGAAACCGTAGGAGCCGGCTCAAATGAAGTAGACTGTGAACTGCTGACAGACGATGATGCTGGTAAACTGACACTTGTAATAGACAAATCACAGGCAGAAGTCGATGTGTGTTCTCTGGATAAGTTGAGTACCGTATCATTATCAGCTGACCCTCCTGGGAAAACTTCTGGTTTCCATCTAAAGCAGCCTGTTCAAACACACACGTTATTGTTAGCATACTGTGTTATATAAGCTATCAAAAACCAAGCAAACCTGCAAAACCAACACCTAAAAGGTTTTATACTTTCATTCATTTTCTGCAAACAAAATTGATTTTTTTTTAGCTCAAATATTTCTGATATTTAATTGACCATGCAAAACTGGGCATGCAAGTTTCGTTTCTAAGCTTTGAAAAGTCACTAACTTACCGAAATGGCAGCAGCTACACCTTTTTATCCAGTTATATGGAAGATGAATTCCTCCCTTCCATTTTTCATTCCTTTCTATATAGAAGCCTCCCTTGAATCCGAGTCCGTAGTAATCGACCTTGGATAATAAGCAGACTTTTTGTTTAACGAACTTTGAAGGCAATAAAATGGTCGGAAGAAATAAATCTCGGCTGATACAAATCGGCATTTGCCAAAAGGATTTTTTTGTAACACGTCATTACAATTTCGTGATGAAAACGGTTCACTGAAAGATACAGTAGGTGGAAGTAGTATTACCAAATCTATGCAGAGCCATCCCATGATTTAAAAAAATTATCAGGTCAGAAAATAAATGAATAATAAGCATCAAGCCGAGGACTTTTCAAACATGCAATGAATCTGTAAAGATTTTTAAACTGAAATCCAACGTTTAAAACAATCAGACACCGTGTCTAACACTCTGAGAAACATTCACTACCACAATCTCATGTACTACGATGACTTGTGAGTATTTCTCAGTTACTGACTAGCAAATGTTAACCTTGGCCAAATAAGATACTTACCGAGCATCAAGCGATAAACTTTTGGAGTTAAGCTCACTGGCTCCCCCCACTACAAATCACCCTGTAACTGGTTGTCATATAAGTAAACAAACAAAATCAACATTACACCTTATACAATACACTCGATAAACAGACTAACAGAAAACTAGTAGTAATTTCAGATAAGACAGCTCATTGTACAGAGTCGGACAAAGAAACCTACATTTAGGATAGGGAGTAGTTCAAGTTGAGGTGGGGTTGGCATTTAAAATTAACACGTTAAACGAGAAGTTGCCAACTGCAAAAACTCTGAATATAAATAGAACAAGAAAGATGTGAGCTTTGTGAGTTTGTTGGATTGTTGTGATGACTAAATAACACATTTTCTGACATTATGAACCACAGTCAATGATGAAGGAACTAACACTGAAAGAACCAGTAAATTTGAAGTTGAATACAAGACGCATACGCATCCCATTGCTTGACGTCTAAAATTTAATATCCCAGAACTGAATCGTAACGCCAGCTATCCTCCTCACCATCATTTATAGCTCTGATTCCCTCATCCCATAAACAATTCTGCTATATTACAACAAAAAGACAGTAGCTTGCAGCCTCAGTATCCATCAAAATAATATTTTAACTTATGAAATTTTATCTACAAAAGAGAAATACAGTAGACTCCCTCTTATCCAGACTCCTCGGGACCAAGGCCAGTCCGGATAACAGTTTTTCCGGTTAAACCAACGTCTCCAAAAATTTGTTAAATCGGACCGTTTAAGTGCATACTGTATACAGTATTTGACTTAAATTTATGAGAGCATTGTATTTAGACACGTGATAACTAGTTTCAAATCTTTTCCACAAGAATAGTTCTTTCAGTACCGCTCACTTCCTGCCGATCTAGTCCAGTTAAACCGTTGTGCTGATAAAAATTATCCGGATAAAGAGATGTCACTTCTGAGTGTAGTCCGGTTAAAAGGTTTCCGGATAAGAGGGAGTCTACTGTATTGGTTTACAGTTACACTACGTTTCCCTGGAATAAAACCCTGCATTTGCAAGTCATCTAAATTTCATGAAATTTTGTCTATGAAAGAGAGGTATTGGAACCCCATTCCACTGTGTCCTCTGAAATTGATCCCTGATTTTTCCGGCTAAGGTTAAAATCCTATCCACCAAATAAGAAATACTTGTTAAACACAAAAGCCAAAGTAGAATTATTAAGCTTCATCACAACAAAATCACAATGCTCACCAAATCTGTGACGGTGCAATATTAAGGCCCGTTTTGCCAGAAGCGTCTCGTGCGTCTGACGCTCAACGTCTATCGCTCCGCGTCAATCGCTGCCCACTGCTTTGCATTGTTTTAGGTTAGTCTATTTTGCCAGAAGCGTCTATCGCTACAACCGCCAGCGTCTGACGCGAACCACTGCTCCTGGAGCAGACGGAGACGCAGTCGCTAGCGATTATTACTGGAATAAGCACGTGTTTAGTTGTTGACTTAACTTTTGTTTCCTTAAATAAGTTGTGTTTTTAAGTTTAGTGACATGTCACAAACAAAGTGGGGATTCAATAGTGAAGAAGATGAAAAACCGATTGAAGCCATTTCAGCACACGACTGTTAAGTCAATTGTTATGTGATTTTCAATTAACAATTTAAAATATCCCTCTTCAGGCCTCTTTTAAAACATAGTACGCACTTCTTCCCAAGGTTTGCACAACATTTCTAATATCTCATCATCGTGTAATTCCTCAGCTAACCAATACTTTACTATTTGCTTTTTACAGGTCATTTTCAGAAACACTCCTTTTGCCACCAAAGTAAACCACTTATTGATCAAATAATCGCAAGGAACAGACGCTTCTGGCAAAATAGGCCCGAGCGATAGACGCTGAGAGCGATCATCGCTGAGCGTCGGACGCACCAGACGCTTCTGGCAAAACGGGCCTTTACACAAACACATTGCCTCCCCTCAAATCCAGCAAGTGACCATATAAAATCACATTGAATGTTGACGAATAAAGCATGATTTTTATACTCGTGAGCCATTTTACAATAAATTTATCAAAGACAAATATTTAACTAAGCTTATTGCCTTAACACGTAAGTCAATCTTACAGGGATGGTTATAAAAATAGGACTTGACACAACCAAAAAAGCCACATAGAACGATCATCAGGTAATGAATCTTTTAACAATGCATTGTTGTAGATGGAACCTCCAATTTCTTTGTAGACACTCATAAGAACTGTAATAAAATTCATAAGAAATTATTGAGTTACAAAATTGTATAAATTATAGACTTATCATGAAATTACTGATTTCATGTCTAATTTAAAGTAAGCTTTTATCGAATATAGTATAATGTATAACTAAGTAAAAAATTCCTAGAAAACAATACTATAGTTCGGCCGCTTAGAAAGTGACCTCCTCCAGCATTGGTTTAGCATTAGCGTTCAGGTCGTTTTCTAAGCGGCCGAACTATAATCAAACTTTGTTAATAAACGTAACATACCAAGCGTAAGATAAATTAAAAAAAACTCAGTGAAATCAGAAAAAAACTTTTTTTGCTAACATCTCTGTTGTTATAGTTTAGTTACTCTTATTAGTTAGTATTAACTATATAGATGTAAAATATAGAGAAAAATGAATAATTGTTGGTGTTTTTATGCAAACTTTCACAACAATAAAATATGACTCTAATTCAAAACAAATGTTAGTCAGATGTGCACTCATTCCAAACAATATTACTACTAATAAAATTAGACAACTAATAATTAACTTTGTGATTTTAAAACTAATACATCTGAATAGTAAATACTAAATATTGTTAAAGCAATCCGAACACATTTTGTTATAAAATGTCTTTATGTGCATAAACAACTTTCGAATGTGATTATACCTCGATTACAGTAAACCTGCGACCCAAGATGATTTATAGTTAAACATATTATAAAAGTATCAAGTTCCATATAAAATGTTTATTAATCATTTATAAATTTAAAAATGTTCATCAGTTTCTCAAAATAAAAATAACATTTTTAATATAATCACAAAATTGTACCAAGATGTTACACATAATTGCTTTATTTTCACAGCATATAATTGTTATCACTTATCATTAATTAAATGCTACAATAATAGTAAATATTACCACAATATTGCTGTCAATAGTAAATAATATTGTAACAACATTATTGTATTTAATAAAGGACAATATTTATCAATATTGAGAAATTACTAGTAAAACATCTAACAATATTGCATCAACAATATTTACAGAAAGTTTTTCTAATATTTTCTCAATATTGTTTCGTTACTTGGAATTGTGAAAGTAGCCAAGAACCTCGGCAACAACAAGCGTCTAGGCAGCCAGTGCAACTCCGAGGATCGTGGATCAGAACACCCCCCACCACCGCACCATGTCGTATGCTTCCGAATCATACCGGCGCATCAGCAAAGCCTAACTGTTCGCGGAAAATTGTTATCTCTATCACTGTTTCTGTCAAAACGTATCGTTTGCAGGTTAAATTTAAATAAAATATAATTAAACTGTCGTAACCTAACCAATCTTGCTGGTAATGAAAACCTTGAATAAAGGTTTACTAATTGAAAAAAATAGTTCTGTTCTAAAAATAAAATTATAAATATCTTAAATTCAATTTTATAACTATCATAACCTAACCAAACCAACCAAACCTGCTGATATGAAAAAAATGTTGACAAAAAGTTAGTGACACCAGCGGGATTCGAACCCGGCATCTTCAGGTTATCAGCCCGACACGCTATCCAGTACACCACCAAGGCTCATGACTACAATTCGTATCGTCGCGGTAATGGTTGACGCCACGCCATCGGCATGGAGCGGTGGTGGGGGGGGTTTCCGATCTGATACACGATCCTCGGAGTTGCACTGGCTGCTTAGATGCTTATTCGGTTGTGTTGCCACATTAAAAAAAAAACATTCAAACAGACCTGCATTTTATGTTTCTTTTCTTTTTGCAGTCATTTTCTGTGTCTTTTAACTGCAACATCTCAATTAATTAATTATTTAAAAGTGGCTAAAACGATATATTGGCATGACAAAGTTAAATACAGTTTTGTCAAAGTAGTAAAGACCAAGAATGTTCCTAATTTCTAAAGAATATATTCCTTTTTGATTTTGGAAGACAACTAATAGTTTGGAATTGAATTATTTTTAACTGTTACATTACAAACATTGGCTTACTTAAAAACCTACAAAATCAATACTTTCGAATGTTAAAGAACAAAATTTAAATCACATGAGTTGAAAATGTGTAATGCTTTATAGATTTGTTAAATTTCAACTCAGAGCCTAAGTTGGTGCCCGTAATGATAAGAAAAAAAAATATGATAAAAGTCATAGCAAACAAAATATAATATTCTTTTTTCTTGTAAGTTCAAATATTAAGTTAAGCTTCAAACAGTAAGTTAGTATAATATTTGTTCACCACACTATGCTGTTTTTAGCCGTTTTACAGATGTTAATTGGAGGCTGAAAGCTACGCATTGCTGTACAGAGCCAAAATGCCAGCCGTCCTCGTCATTTGGGGGCCGAGCAGGTTTTTACAGTCCTACGGCCGAAAATCAGCTGTTCGCTTAATTACTCAAAACATTAATGTACAAAATACACAAGCAGTATCCTTATTATGCATTGTAATAGACTTGTTTTATATTCACCGCTGCCTAGCAACTATTTACTATTATTTTTGCTAATTCCTCTAAATATTTCTTCACATAACCTTTAAGTTGAAGTTGTGTGCATATATAGTATTTTTTCAATTTTGTATAATGTGTCGAAAAATAGCGTTCATACCACCAGCCGAAAGGGTTTTGCAGCTCTCGATCGTTTTAAGTTATCGACTTTGTCTAGAACTTAAAAAATGATCTTGAGTCGGCAAAACCTAATTTTTGCCCCTGCGTACAAAATACACTATTGTGTTATCCATAAAAATGATGCAATATGGCATTGGTTTGAATGTAAACATTATTACCTAGTTCCAGTATTTTATGTTTTAGTATTTATCTACTGCCAGTGGCATTTTTGAAATTTTGTTGTAAAGAAACTGCCCACACCATAAGTATTGGTTTTATAAATTTGACCTAGATACTTCCCGCTATAAAAGGTAAATACGTTCGGAAAGTGTTGTTTATAATCTTTCACTGTCGGCAACACATCGATTTGTTCCCACTTCAAAGTGAAATAAGCCGTTTTATCTACTATGTTGATTTTATACTAAAATAAAAATGCAGTTCTAATGAAAACTTGTTATCATTCAACTGAATACCAATCAAATTCAATAATTTTTTTCATAGTTGAATAGTAAAAAATATTCGTATAATTCAACAATAACTATACACTGTATTGGTTACAAATTTAATTTAGTATCCAATCAGCTGATGAACTGACTTTCAAAACATAACCTTCATTATATTTTCAAATTTTTGTCTTGGACTTGTTTGAATTTTTTTCCATTTTACTATTCATACAATTAGTTTCAACAAAGATTTAGTGTTTAGATACCTTTAACAAGTGTGCAAAAAGAACATTAGGACTACACAATGACTGTTGAGTACAATGACATAAAAACCTCACAGATTTACATACAAAGCATCACACAAAAACCGATCTTGTAGGCAATTGCCTGTGCTGAACTATTGCACACAATGTAGCGGTTTAAAGAATGACTGCAACAATTAAGTGATATTTTTATCAATTAATAACAATCAATGATATTGTGCTACCCAAATTTATGTGTCTAAAAAACTCACAACATTAATGGTTTGTTTTAGTTTGTGTTAGTACTGTGATATTAGCCACTATCTCACGAGAATGTGAAAATTACTTTTGTTCTTGATTTTACAGTGCAAATATAACAAAAGCTGTATATCTGTTGTGAATAAGCACAGTAATTCTTAAACAACTTATTGTGATTTTGAAAATATAATCACAATATTAGTAAGTCACCGCACGAGCTTGTTTAGAATTAATATTATTTGAACTATAATCCACAAACAGTTTTAAACTAACATACAAAATCACGAGGTCAATAAATAAATCAATCAATCACGAGGTCTATTGAGTAAGCCATATTCATATAAACTCCATGAGTACAAAGTTAAATAGACAGATTAGTTTAGAACTAAAGGTTGTCATAGATAATTGAACCCATGGAAATCTGGTCCAGTTGTTTATGTTGATAGAGAACAGATCTCAAACTTGCAACAAAATATTAATTTAATTTTTGAATCAGACATGACTTTTTTGCAAGTTTCGTGATAGCATATCAACACTCTAGATTACCGTTTCAATCGCTCAATATGAGCTGGTTAAAAAAACGGAACAAAATTACTTTGATTTAGGTAATATATTAAAGAAAATACCATTTTCAATAACAAATCAGGAGACTCATTACAAAAAAATACATAGGAAATGACTGTAACTTTAAAAAAAAGAAACAGTGTTGGATTTGCAGGTCTGTGGTTAAAATACTAGCACTACAAACGGAATTTGCAGCACTGGATTTTTATGTAAAATAAACCTAGTTTTACAAGAAATAATTACAACTACCCATGCATAACCTAATCCTTATCAAAACGTGCTACACGTAAAAATAAAATATTGAAATGGACAACCACTTACTTGGATGGGCGTACGGTATTTCTTGTCTATGAGCATAAGAAAATTCTTGATTAATACTTTGATTAGAAATTACTCGATTTTCATGAGTCCTGCTCCAAACCAGTTCAGATTGTGAGTTTGACCTTATTTTTAGCTGAAGATGATGGTAAAGTAGTTCACCGCACTCAGGCAACCTCAACTTGAAGTCATCTAATGTCATCCTTACCAGGTCTCGGCCGCTGACATCTCGGAAGTTGTTGAGACTGACGCTTGCTGGGTTGATGTTCAGTTGGAATAATTCATGAATGAAACAGTCCAAAGTGTCACTCGGTGACCACTCTGAAATACTCTTGTAAGCCCAACAGTCGTAGATCCGCCTTTCTATAGGCCAGTGTTTTGTGGAAGGACTTTCAGTAGGCCAGTGTTTTGAGGGAGGCCTTTCAGTAGGCCAGTGTTTTGTGGGAGGCCTATCCGTAGGCCAGTGTTTGGTGGGAGGCCTATCCGTAGGCCAGTGTTTGGTGGGAGGCCTATCCGTAGGCCATTGTTTGGTGGGAGGCCTATCCATAGGCCAATGTTTTGTGGATGGCCCGTCAATCGGCCAATGATTGGTTGATGTATCTGAAACATACGAAAAATATTGCTCACATACAGTAGTTATAGGATTAACTTTAAGGATTGCATCAGAGGAATTTATATTCCTGTCACAATGTCTATTTCCAATGTAATTTGTATCCCAGTCGCAATGAGTACTTCCAGTGTAATTTGTATCCCAGTCTTAATGAGTACTACCAGTGTAATTTGTATCCCAGTCTTAATGAGTACTACCAGTGTAATTTGTATCCCAGTCTTAATGAGTACTACCAGTGTAATTTGTATCCCAGTCGCAATGAGTACTTCCAGTGTAATTTGTTTCCCAGTCAAAATGAGTACTACCAGTGTAATTTGTATCCCAGTCGCAATGAGTACTTCCAGTGTAATTTGTATCCCAGTCGCAATGAGTACTACCAGTGTAATTTGTATCCCAGTCTTAATGAGTACTACCAGTGTAATTTGTATCCCAGTTGCAATGAGTACTTCCAGTGTAATTTGTATCCCAGTCACAATGAGTACTACCAGTGTAATTTGTATCACAGTCACAATGAGTCATGGCCTAGGGCGCGAGGCAATTGGCTTTTTTGGGGGGCGCCAAAAAATTGGAAAAAGAAAAAAAAATTGTGGCCGTTTTTGCATGTGATTGCGGTAAACTGATAATCCCTTGCAGCCGTGTAGACATCTTAACAGTCTCCCACAATTGCGGCAAGATGTTAATTATTTCCTGCGGTTGTATATACATCATCATCGTCCGTCTCCCGTGATCGCGGCAAAATTCGGACTATTTCCAGCGGACGTGTGGACATAATTATCGTCTTCCTTGATTGCGGCAATATATGAACACATCCCGCGGTCGTGATGAGATTATCACCGTCTACCGCGAATGAGGCAAAATTGTAATTTTCCCTGGGTCGTGTGGACATTATCATCTTCTTGCGTGATCACGATAAAATTCTGATAATCCCTCACAGCTGTGAAGACATCATCGTCTTTCGCGAATGAGGCAAAATTCTGATCTTTCCCGTGGTTGAGTGGAAATGATCATCGTCTAACGCTATTGCGGTAAAATTCTGATCATCCCTCGCAGCCGTGAAGTAGACATCATTATTGTAACTCCCACGATCCTGTAGACATCGTAATAGTCTCCCATGGTCATGAAGTCATCGTAATCGTCTCCCGCTGTCGTGTAGACATCATATAATCGTCTCCCTCGGTCGTGAAGACATCGCAATCGTATCTTGCTGTTGGGAACACATCGTAATCGTCTCCCGCGGTCGTGAAGACATCGTAATCGTCTCCCGTGGTCGTGGATACATCGTAATCGTCTCCCGCTGTCGTGAAGACATCGTAATCGTCTCCCGATGTCGCGAAGACATCGCAATCGTATCTTGCTGTTGGGAACACATCGTAATCGTCTCCCGCGGTCGTGAAGACATCGTAATCGTCTCCCGTGGTCGTGGATACATCGTAATCGTCTCCCGCTGTCGTGAAGACATCGTAATCGTCTCCCGATGTCGCGAAGACATCGTAATCGTCTCCCGATGTCGTGAAGACATCGTAATCGTCTCCCGATGTCGTGAAGACATCGTAATCGTCTCCCGCGATTACGGCAAAATTTTAATAATATACCGCAGTCATGTGGAGATCATTATCGTCTTCAGCATTCGTTGCAAATTTCTGACTGTTTTCCGCGGTTGCGTGGACATTATCCTCGTCTTCTGTGATTGCGGCAATTTTCTGATCATCCCTCGCGGCTCTGTAGATCTTATTGTCGTATTGTTCGATCGCAGTAAAATCATTATCATATCCCATGGTCGTTTAGACATTATCATCGTCTCATGCGATCGCGACAATATTCTGATCATCCTTCACGGCTCTGTAGATCTCATTATCTTATTGCGCGATCTCGGTAAAATCATGATCATATCCCGCGGTCGTTTAGACATTATCATCGTCTCATGCGATCGCGGAATAGTTCTGATCATCCCTCGCGGCCTTGTGGAGACATATTATCGTCTCCCGTCTTCCGTGGTCACAGAAACGTCACTGTTGTCATGCGCCATCGCGGTAAATTGACAATTCCTGGTTAAAAAAAAATCACGCTTGATTCCCGGATTTCCCGGTTGGTGGTCACCCTGTTATATATTGCAAAGGGGCGCTACTATTTTAGTTGTGCATAGGGCTCTGACATGGTCAAGAACGGTCCTGCAATGAGTACTACCAGTGCAATTTGTATCCCAGTCTTAATGAGTAGTTCCAGTGTAATTTCAATCCCATCGCAATGAGTACTACCAGTGTAATTTGTATCACAGTCGCAATGAGTAGTTCCAGTGTAATTTCAATCCCATCGCAATGAGTACTACCAGTGTAATTTGTATCGCAGTCGCAATGAGTACTTTCAGATATGAATAACAACACAGTATACAGAGCTACTGAACACACCTGTAGTCCGGTTTACATAAAGTTTGGTACATTTATATCGGTTGGGTACTAATCCATGGCATCTCTAGGCATGTTTCCCTTTTTTTTGGAATTTTGATTTTTAATGGTGATTTTCCCATAAAATAGTGGTAAAATCTAATTTTCTAGTAAATGGCTGGAACGATTTTGATAAAAATTTAGTTTGTTATGCCATTTAAATCCTGAAAAAAAAATGGTAGAACTCCCATAGTTGTGAAAAATTGCAGTTCAAAAGTTAATGTAACTTATGTTATTAACTGTGTTCCCATAAAAAACCTAGAAAATAACAAGGATTACAAAAAAAAGCTGGTTTTGATTAAAATTATGTTATCATACTAATAATATAATATTAATGTGAAAGTTTGTGTGTTTGTTTGTTTGAAGTTCAATCACGCATCAACTACTGGTCGGATTGGGCAGTAATTTGGTATGATGATAGTCCACATTCCTGAATAACATATAGACATACTAGCTGTAACCCGCGGGCTTTGCCCCGTTTAACTTCTTAATTTTCAAGATTATCTCGTTCGCATAGCTCAATCACGTCCTGGTTGAAGTTTGTTCGCTACGCTCACTCACCTGTAGGTTGGAGCTCGTTCGCTACGCTCACTCACCTTTAAGTTGGAGCTCGTTCGCTGCGCTCACTTGCCTTCAGGTTAGCTCGTTCGCTACGCTAACTCGCCTCCAGGTTGAAGTTTGTTCGCTATGCTCACTCACCTTTTGGTTGCAAATTAGCTGTTGTCATAAATGTAAAAGAAATAATAGTGCTGCACCCTGTTGGTAATCCTTGTAACTTTAATGCTATTGAACATCATAGAACAGAACCAACTTGTTTAATTGAAACAGCTGTTAAGATTCAATAATTCCATTTCTCATAAGGTTAACATGGGAAACTCCAGAGCCACTGGGGCGGAGCCCGAAAGGATTTTTGAAATAAGAATATGCCTATATGTTAATCGGGAATGTGAGCTATCATCATGCCAAATTTCAGCCCAATCCGACCAGTATTTTTCGCGTTCACTTGTCACAAACATACATCCATACATCCATACATCCAAACTTTCTCATTTATAATATTAGTAGGATTCTTATCTCAAAAATCCTTTTGGGCTCCACCCCAATGGCCCTGGAGTGTCCCATGTTTGCATTATGAGTATTTATATTTAAAAGAAATTAAAAAACTTTGTTGGCTGTTTCAACTACAAAAGTTGGTTCTATGATATTCAATATAATTAAAAAGGTATAAGGTATATCAACAGGGTGCAGGACGATTAATTTTTTAAATGTTTTTGCATTCATGACAACAGTTAATTTGAACCAAGCAGCGAGAAAAAGCTGTGATACACGATGAGAACTGTCAAATTAGGATCGTTTACAAGTTTATGTTTTTAATTTATAAATAATCTTTTGATATTCTGCAAATATTTGATAATTTAATTTTTGTTTGTTTAGGTGTAGTGGTATAACATTATGGCTATGGTAGATGTGTTATACTCTGGCATACCATAAATTAAAAAAAAATTTCTCAAACCGTGTCCTCTCCCATCGCAAACGCAAAGCACGAGTATAACTGCAATAAGCATTTTAATACTTATACTATTTACTTATATGCCAACCCTGTATGAAGGACGGGCATTCTGTTTGTGGTCCTTTAATTCTTAACAAAATGGTGCAATCCCCCATTGCTGTAAACGGTTTGAAAGTTACTGAAACTTTTGTGATTTTCCTTATAAGATATCATAGTAACTCCCACTGCTTACCCATGATAAAGGTTGTTTTCAAGCTAATGGGAGAAAGCATGTGTCAGATTGCTGATACCATTTATTTAAACTTAAACTTAAAAGTCCAATACCTCGGAAGTAAAGTCACAGCAGACGGAGGAGCAAAGGAAAATGTTAGGAGCCGCATTGGAAAAGCTTATGCAGCATTTATTCAGCTTTACCCAATATGGTGAAATAGAAATATTTCAATAAAAACCAAAATCCGCATCTTCAACACAAACGTCAAGTCTGTCCTTCTATATGCCAGTGAAACTTGGAAAATGGATCAGTGTAGTACTTATCAGCTCCAGGTGTCTCAGATGTATAATGAGAGTGTTCTGGCCAAACACTATATCAAATGAACAGCTTTGGGAGGCAACAGGGCAATAAAAGATCAACCTAGAAATCAGAAGACGGAAGTGGAGGTGGCTGGGTCACACTCTTCGGAAGACGGATGGTGCAATTGAAAAGAAGGCCCTGGAATGGAATCCCCAAGGGACCAGAAAGAGAGGAAGACCCTGTGACACCTGGAGGAGAACAATAATGAAGGAAGCCTTGAGTGTCGGGAAGACCTGGGGTCAACTGAGGGATCTGGCGCAAGACAGGGATGGATGGCGAGCTCTTCTCGATGCCCTATGCTCCCGCTAAGGAGCGACAGGAAATAAATTAAAAAAAAAAATCAAATAACTTAAAAGTGTTTCTTGGTCAGGAAATGATTTAGCAAGATTACCAGGCATGTGGGGGGGCATCTGAGGTTGGTCGAAGTAGGCCATGTGTAGCGGATGACTCGGACCTGGGGTCGGCTGAGGCATCCCTTCTCTGCCCCACACCTCGTTCATCACACTCTTCAACTTGGTCTGCAGCTGATGATACAAGATGTCCCCATACTGGGGGATGATCTTGCGGAAGTCCTCCACGGAGAAATTCTTTAGATCGCATCCTCTTGTGTTGACAAAGTGCTCTAGTTTGAGAGTCGCCGGGTTCTGCACTTGCAGTTTGTATAGTTCACTCAGCAGCCAGAAGAGTGTATCGTAGGAGGACCAATAGTCAATAAGTTTGAACTTCCACCCTTCATAGTGGTCATCGGCACTGAAGCCTGCTTCTGAAACTGATAGCAATGCATTTGAAATTGTTATCGTATACGAGTAAAACAGTTATAGGGCTATTCTAACTTTTTTTAAATATTAAGGATTTTTTTGGATAGCAGGCTTACCTAAACTGAAACACACAAGTTAGGATATTTCACTGGAAGATATTTCTCTTTCCAACTCAAACCGCCCCTGGTTGAAAATGGTGTCGGTGACAGTGAAATGGTTTGATTTATGCGGATAGTGTATGGTGTTTTAGCGTAAACTGTTTCACACTTAGGTAAGTATACTGTCCAACAAAAATCCTTATAAGTGGACCCTCATGTTACATCACTTTTAAAAGTATTATTAAAGTACTACCTAAATCTCGGAGGGTCAATCACTGTAATTACGGCGACGTTGCAGGCTTTCTGTTTCATGCGATATAATAGCGTACTAACGAACGATCCCATTAACTATGTATCCAGCAGATTCTGGGCTTCATGACAACCAATGAAGATGGCAGTTTTGTGAACTGTTTTTTGGCCTATGTTAGTTTTTCTGCTTGTTTGTTTTTGTCTATGGTTGTCATAGCAACATCGTTTCGGTGTTCATATCTTTGTTTTTATGTTTAGTAATCATTTTTCAAATACTTTTTCCTCATTTAATTTTTTTCTTTTTTTTCCTAGGACGCTAGGCACGAACCTAGGACTGTTTTTCAGATTATTTCAGGCTAGAAATAAGGGTTGCGGGCGTTGCGGCATTATCACTTAAATGAAATCCATTGGTGATTTGGCGGGATTTGCACCCGGGACCTCTTGGACCGAAGCCCCACGCTCTAACCACTAGACCAGCTCGCTCCCCCTCCTCATTTAATTTAGAATAAAATGTATATATCAGTTTCTTATTTAGTGACTGTTAGTGTTTTACCACATGTCTAGTTACTCAGATATAGAAACAAAATTTGTGCATCTTCTGGATTTGAACTCATATAGGAATTCAGTCTTGTAAGGTAAGGGTATTATACTATATATTTCAAGATAGCCTATTTAATGTAGTTTAAGAAAATATACATGTTTATATTTCTTTTCTTCGGTGAATGTTTTTATGGATGTTTACAGTACATAAAACGCAGGAAAAGTGCCTGAACACTCAAGACATTTGGAGGTTGTCAATGCGACACCTAGAGGGTTAAGTACTATGAATAAATATTTGTTTTTTTAGAAACAAGTCGTAGAACGTCAAATTAGCATTTCTGTCTAGGGTACATGATATGAGGGCACCAGATGCTACTTTACAGTACATTTACCTTTCCAGTGGGTCATAGCCCCTATGCACAACTTCCTGTTAACTTCATTATTTATTTACGTTTTCGACACATTTTAAGTCAAAACGTTACAGTCACAAAATACATTTCACAACGAAACCTGACAGCTGAATAAAAAGTTGACATTGTCAATGACACCACGTGAATATGTTTTTGTAAACACTAGTACTCCCTTTTAGAAACAATTTCAACGTTTGAGGTGTCAAAAAAACTGTCTCGATTTATAGTTTTGCAACGTTTTAAAATTTAAAAAGTTCTTATCCTTAAGTGTGTGAGACACCCTCAATGGTTAAATTTCCTCCGTAAGCATTACATAGAACCAATTCAAAAACAAAAAAAAACAGCTGTTTATAAGATTAAACTCGTCAGCTTTTTTGGGAGTAAAGGTAATTTCCTGTTAATAGGAACATTCATTATTATCGATGATTTTTTTTGTATACCGTAGAGATATTTTTGTTTCCTTTGCGATCCATTTTCCTTCTGTTTTAATATGTTCAAACACATTTAAATTACAAATTGACAACTGATCTTGTTTAGGCAAAAATGATACATGGATTAAGAAATGAAACTGTTCTAAACTAACCAAACTTGCAGTACCATTTCAAAATTCCGTTTGATAACAGAAAAGGCATGTGGGGAATATCAAACGGAATCTTGAAATGGTACTGCAAGTTTGGTTAGTTTAGAACAGTTCTTTTCTTAATAATATAAATGTTACATAAATCTGTCCGTCTTTGGTCTTAAAAAATAGTCTGGGGGTGACTAGTTTCGGGTCAAAGACCCAAATCCACATCAAATTGAACTTAGTCTATAAACCGACGGAATTCTTCATCAAAACATATATCAAGTCAACATATACAGTCCATATATTTACACACAGATACAGCTACATTTAAAAACATTAGCCGGCCACATTCATTTATACACATATTCAGGAGGTTATAGACCAATATAAACATTTAATCAGTTTTATTGGAAGAAATGGAAGAACCACATTTCTGAAAATAATGAAAAATAATGTAACAGGTCAAACTAATATAAACTCAGAAAATTATAGCACCAGGCCAATTGAACAATATAGGCCCTATGTAGTTTTTGTTACTCACTCTAAATCAATTGAGAAAAAAGCAAATGGATTGTATACTTCTTGCTATCATAATGGCAAGGTTACGTTGCCAGTTCCACAAACAATCAAACTTATAAAAACTTTATTGACTGGAATTCACCATCAGCCAAGACATTTCAAGTCAAAACAAGAATCTGCAACAACTCATTTGCTATGTTAGTGTTAGTGGCAATATTAGACCAAACACAAGAGAAGGGAAGTTAATTTTTATAATTCAGAAGAGCAGGGGTGCCCACAGGGGGGTTTGATGTCGCAAAATGCGACATCAGAATTTTATTTGGGGGGGATTTTATGATTTTGGGGGGGATTCAAGCCAGTGGTTGGTTAAAAGCACATAAAAGATTAATCAGATAATTTTTACGACCTCCTTAATTTATTACTGGGGTAATTATGCAATCAAAATCCCGTTTGACATTTTTTATCTTGATTAATAAATCATTTTATAATTGCTATAAAATATATAGATACTTTTATGTGGATTTCCACTTTCTGACTCGTATCATGTTTGACAGTGAGAACAACTCCAAGCCAACTGCTGTCAAAGGATTATGGTTGCTTATTAAATTGTATCTGCAATTTGAGTTTGTTTTTACCTTTCATTATGAACTCATTCTCAAATAGTCTCATTGCCTTGAGGACCTATTGATGGTTTTTTAGGTTTGTTTATTATAATATATTCTTGATTCATAAAAAACAGTATTATGATAATGATAATCATTTTGCTATTTTTACAACATGAACAACAACATTAAAGCTTGTGATAATATTTTGGCTCTCCCAAATATATATTATGCCTGGGTCATTTATTCATTGGAAGAAATTGACATACAGTACTGTGACAATTTAATTAAGGTTTTTGATAGGCTATGTGTTTACGTTAACTTCAAGAGCTGAAACACATGATTCTGGATTAATTAAATTGTATTTGTTATTGTCTTTTCTTGAATCTAGAAAGAGCTTCAAACAAATTTTACTAGTCTTAGAATAGATATATAATAATTTTTTACGCCACACTACACTATTTTGACGAACTTCCCATGCAAGGATTTAGTCCAGAAAACAGCTGTTTGTCCTTAATCAAATGGGGTTTCATACAGTACTACTGTACTGTAATGAGTTTACCAATCAGCTGATTATACTGTATTTGGGTGGCAATGAGTGGTTATAACAAAAACATAACCTCTGACTAGTGATTTTTAGTCCTTTAGTTGGTGTTAATATAGGGATTTGAACGGATTTAGTAGTATGGCGTAAACTATCGTACGTCACTCGTCCAAAATGTGTTGGCCGGACTCGTATAAAAAAACCACTACTCGACTTCGTCTCGCACGGGATTCAGTACTAGTAACGTAATATACTATTTTACCACACTATGATGTTTTTAACTGTTTTACATATAGGTACATTAATTGGTGGCTGAAAGTTACGTTTTGCAGGCCAATCCAGCTGTCATCGTCATTTGGGGATCAAGCAGGTTTTTACATCCCTAGGGCCGCAAAATCAGCTGCCCGTTTTAAATACACAATCAGTATCCATAGCATTGCAATAGAGTTGTTTTATTGTCACCGCTGCCTAGCAACTATTTATTATTATTTTTGCTGATTCCCCAAATTATTTATCCACATGACCTTAAAGTTGTGTAGTTGTGTTGACTATATCAGTGTGCAGTGCATTATCATTGGGAGGTGAATTAGTGGTAATAGGGTATAGTGTGGGGCGGTGAATAATAGCGTTCGTACCACGGACTGAAATGGTTTTGCAGTTCTCGATCGTTTTCAATCCTCGACCTCGTATCGAACTTAAAAACTACCTCGAACCAGCAAAACCTCATTTTGGCCCTAGGCACGAAATATGCTATTAAGTTTAGGGCTAGTAATATTTTTGAGACTGAATATTTTACACTTATTTAAAAAGGACCAAACTCAGAAGTGGATTAAAGGGCAATTTAGAAAATATCTCAAACTTTTTTACATAACTTCAAGTACTTTCTCCCCTACAATTTAATATGGTAAAAGAATTGTTTATGTAAAAACCCTGATCCCAAAAAAGTGGTTTTCGAAGTGATGTGTGTGTCTGTCTGTATGTGTGTATGTATGTATGGTACAGAGCTACAGACCACGCCTGTGGTCCGAGTCCGATTTTGATGAAATTTGGTATTTTAGGTACCAATCCATGGTCTCTCCAGATTTTTTTTTCATTTTGGATTTTTAGTAGTGATATTCCATAAAACCTTATAAAATAATGGATGAATAAAATTTTCTCAGAATTGGCCTGAACGATTTTGATTTAAAATTAACATGTTATACTTTTTGACTATGACAAAAATTGTATAAACCCTCTATGCCGTAAAAATTATGGTTCAAAAGTTATTGCAACTTTTGTGATTTTCCCTTTTAAAACCTATTAACTCATGAAAAATCGGATTAAAAAAAACTACATGGCCAATTTTGATTCAAATTGTGTGCATGTTAAAAATCTAACTCATTTAAATGAAAACTAAACTAACAAATAGTTTGCTACTAGAGTTTTAAAGGAAAATTGTCCATTTAAATTGGGTTAAAAGTTTGATTCAAACGCTTAAATTCCCATAAATTTAAAGAAGTGTCGGGGGCACCCCTTCCCTCCCCGCATTATAAACATAACTATGGGTAAGCCCCCAGACCTTCCGGCATGGGTTAACAACGAATTTGGGGGGGATTCTGCGACGTGAGCTTTGGGGGGGATGGGCACCCCTGAGAAGAGGCAAATAATAATATACTCTGTTCAATAAGAGAAAATGAAAATTGTTATCCAAATCTAATGCAAGAGTTATTTAACCTATGAAACAAATAGAGATCCATACTTTCAAAACATTGGGACAGGTATTAAGCAAAAATCCACATGAACAAGTGAGAATATACGGATGCTGGATGCTGGGCATATACTCTGACAGACAACAAGAAAAAAGACGTTACAATTGACCAACTTCCAATGATATTGCTTCAAATGATAAAACAGATGTTAGCTGCTCAGTTGGTAACCCAGAGTTTGTGGTATGCCTAAAAAAAATAGCTCCTGAAATGGTTGATAGCACCCCCTTGTTCACGATTGGATCCGATGGCCTATTATTTACTTTTCCTGTGTGGGGAAAAGAGTTTGTTTAGGGGGATGTGTCAAATCGAAGAAAGTGCTCCTGTTTAAAGAAGTAAAGTGACCAACTTCAACTTGCTTCACACAGATTATCGGAAAGGCAACAAATTGTCTTCAGTTCTTCATAATGTAAAAGCTTTGTTGCAACATATCACAGACATGTGTTGAATTAAGGAGAACGTTTAGCATTCATTAGAAGCAACACTGAGAACAGAAATGAACGTGAACCTTCACAACGCAATTATAGATATTTAAACTCAATTTCTATCAAGTTTTCAGACAACTCTAATAATCGTATTGCAATTAACTTGAATTCAGAGAACTCAGATAATCTTACTTCAATTAACTTGAATTCAACAGCAAGTTTTCCTCAATATTGTATTCCTTACTGTGCAACTCATTGAGCCTTCGTTTAAACTAATAGAATTGATAAAATTACCTTAATAATTGCGTTTTCTGTTACACTGTAGATATTACCTTTTTCATAGAACGTAATAGGAGTAAACTTAAATCACTAGTTACTATAAAAGTTTAAGAACCAAATTGGTCAATATTCTGTGCTATTGCTGTCCTGTTTTATACAGCTAAGCCTTGCATATCAATGATATTACATTATTGGATATTTTTACTTGATGAGATAGCGTTTCTACTTTATGATAATGTATAACCAAACCAGATAATAAACATTCATAAGTCTTTTGATAATTTTTATAATATTGGCTATTCTAATAATGGTCGGATAGTTATTTGTGCAAGCTTAAGTTTTATACGTTGGACCTAACATTGACCTGTTAATGCGTAAAGTAGCATGATAAAGTTCTTACTATAAACCATTAAAATGTTAGCTAAAGTTATTTGGCTGATGGATAATTAGTTGGCAAACATATTTTTAATTGGTTCAATTCCCAGCACATCCACAACACATATGTGGGTTTGGACCACATTCCTTAAAAGCTTTTAATTGCTTCTACCGTGCAACTCTTCAAGTAAAAATGTCACTGGCATCAAAGCAAATAAAAAAAACATAGGTTAACTTTCTATCCTATTGATCGGTAATCAAATTTGGTATTTGGAAGGTGGATGAACCCACTTTTACTACTCTTTTAGAAATATCATTAGGTATTTGGTTTTTTATTATTATTTTTTTACCTCTAGTAAAGCCTAGTTTGATGTGAATATAATTGGGGACACATTATAAGCTAGTTATGCAGCTGTGGATACATACTGCTGTCAAAAATGACTGGAAAACACATGCGGCCAAAGGAGGCTCAAGATTGGTTTGGCATAAACAGTTTTCATACACTCACAAAATTATGACCAGTTTTTTTTATTGAAAAATTAAGATGATGTAAGAAAATGTTTATTTTACGAGATAACAGTTAAAATTGTCAGTAAAATGAGAAATTGGGATAGCTATTATGCTGGTATAGCCTTTCCTCCAAGAATATTCAGGCTAGGGCCACATAAGTTGAAAAGTTAATAGCAGCTATATTACACTCAGTTACTTTACAGTGGCATTTTGTAATTAAGAACAAAAACTCTTTTAAGGAAAGCAGCCCAAACCTTTCTAATTATAGTGTATTTGTCAGGGACCGAACTCGTCCCTCTTGGACTGAAGTCCAGATGTGTCACTAGACTAGCAAAAACATCAAAACAACAGCTAACTGATCAAAAGTAAGCCTAGTCACAAAATTTGATAAATATAACATTTAAAACAAAATAAAATGTAGTGTAATATTACAAGGTAATTACCTTCTCGGGGATTAGGTGGGGAAAAGCTATGGTTAGAGAAGTGATACGCCATGGAGGGCCACCAGAGCGTTATCAACTCCTCTATTGTAAACCTCCAATCTGAGTGCTGCAAACAAAACCATAGATGAGTAATGTTTTTGAGAGATTAAGTTTCAAATATTTACTAAAAACAAACAACGCTAGATATGTTGTTGGTGAATTCCTCACCAGGAAGTGATTTGTTGGAGATTTAAAACTGGGATTATGCATCATTATGTTATTCAGCTCATCTTAGTCCGTACACAAGGTTTCAAGTAATTTATTCTACACTCCTTCTTCAATTAAAACCTTGAACTGCTACTAGTGTTGTGTGGTGTGTCAATGTACAACATGTCAAACTTTTACTTCATATTTGGTTTGTGATAAATATCTATTCAACTTCGTAGATTAATTTTTGGTAGAAAACGCTGTCTTTTGCTTGTTGCTCAAATCAAACGCTGCTCTCAATATATTAATGTTAAAGTGCTAAACCTATTCGTCTTAGGCCTATGCACCAATGTTTTAATCATGGAAAACTGCAAAAGCAGCTTATTGCATACTATAGGATTATTTATGTTTCTACAAACTATCACATTGTAAAAAATTGAATGAGAAAATAGATATTCAACAATAACACAATATGAGAAGTATATTCAACTATGTTTTCATTCGGAACCTCGAGTATAGCAGACATATATGGATGAGAGGTCTTCAGTGTCCAAAATTAATGGGATAACACAACTTGAGCAATAACATTTCACTACTACTATTATTACTTGAGCAAAATTCTCAGTAGGTGATAGAAGCTTTGCATGACATATAGATATGATAGAATGAATACAATTGAACAGATAGCATGAGGAAAACTTCTGAGCACTTTCACAAGTACTCCACTTACTATCAAATGAGATAGTAAATATGCCGTATCCGGTAATAGATGACGTAGAAGCAACTAACGCGAACTAAGTCTTTCAGAAAATGTACTCTAAATGTTAAGAATGTACTTAGTATACTCATTATCACAAAAGTGTTATTTGCGTTTCTACACAAAAGACAATTCAACTTATAAGATAAAGGCCGAATCCCTGGTCTAGTTACTAGGTAAATCTATGCTGTAGTTGCTTGCTATATCAGCAGGTCGTACCGGATTTACTACAGATCTGTTTGCATGTGAAGGAAGTGGTATATTGGGGGCTAAGCGGATTATCAGCAAATTGCCTTTTTCTACGACTCAAGCCACTAATAAAATGATATTTTCTATACCCAAAACAGAAAATTATTGGTGACAATCTTTTGCTTAACTAAATTTTAGAGCTGGTTTAGCAACAAAATGTTTATAACTATGTGTTGAATAATTTTTAAGTAAAATTTTATTATACATTTTATATTTTTAACGGAGTTATGCAGAGTAACTCTGGTTTGCTCTTACAAAAAATACCCCCGCCTCCGCAAACCTTTCAGCCTGATTAGATTTTGACTAAATTATTCCCATAAACAAGTCGTACTTATTCCCTCTTTCAAAAATCATTGGATTCAACAAGTTCTTAGGGTTTGCTGATATAGGGAAGGTAAAAAGTGTGTTTTGATCAAATGTAAATAGTGATAAAATAAATAAATATGACAAATGATCAAAATTTATCCATAAACAAGCAAACACCAACAGTTTTCTTTTTTTCCATAAGAATAACATAAGAATTTGAAAAGTACAGTTTCTTTTATTTTCTCTGCGACCTTTAAATATACAGCAATCCTTTAATATACTAAGTTGCGACCTTTAATTGTATAACAATGCTTCAATATACTAAACCATTGAGTATTATACTCAATGACTAAACTGTTTCTTTTTTAAGCTCTACACGATAGCTGCAATTGAAATTGGGCAATTCCATTGTTTAAGGGTTGAATAAAAGAAAAACTATTTTTTAAACAATTTCATAACCCTATAACCACACATTGATCTTCTGACCTGGAATCTTAATGGTTCGCAAACTCAATCAAGTTTATCCATCCACGCCATTCATGCCAAATTTCATCAAAATTTAGCCAAAATAGTTATTTTGTTCATACACAAACACACATACATAATTACAAATTTGAGCAAATAGTTTTTGGCCTCTGGGGATATCAAAATGAAAAAGGACAATCTAGGTCTTTCTGTGCCTCTTTCTTCCATATAGGGAAATTCGCTAATATTTAGACAGCCTACTCCGAATTATCTAAATAAAGACTAGATACAATGTTCAATTGGTTTTCTGAGAATTTAAATGAATGAGATACGTTTAAGAGTTTTATACATTAGTCTTATCTATAAGTGACAGTAATTTTCTCAGAAAAATGTGAAGTGTAATTTGTTGATGTCATGAATTAATAATCACCGAAATTTTAATTATTTTGACTTTGTGTACGTACATAACATGTATTTATTTTTTTTGTTGGAACTGTTATATATTTTATTTAATATAAATAGATATTTATTTATTTTTTATATAAATAAATAGATTATACCTTGTAGACTATCCTTAAAACCTATTCCATCTTAAAAATATTTGTCTGAAAGATATTAGTACAGCAGTCCAAATATAGTCAGTGTTTGAACAGCTGAAATTCTACCGTGGCAAACTCTACATGAAGCCATTACTCACTAAAGTAAGGAAAACATATTCAATTAATATGTGAGTCATAAACGCTATTTTTCGCTACACTACTGTGAAATGATCTGTTTTCGTTACATGTTTATCACCAGTGAAAATTCATCATTACATTGTTTACTATGCAAAAGTAATATTACCTATATTTTTTGAATTCAGCTCAGGAATTGATCAGAAATAAAAAACACTGCAAAGACAATACTTTGGTATACTCTATACCCAAGTGTACCCCAGTAACCTTCTCATGGGTTGCACACCAGTCCTAACCAAGAAGGGATTTGAACCATGGATCTGCAAAGGTGTCCTAGCCAGAACAACAACATCTTAGACAGCTCAGGCATTGATCAGTGATAACAAACACTGCAAAGACAATACTGGTATACTCTATACCCAAGTGTACCCCAGTAACCTTCTCATGGGTTGCACACCAGTCCTAACCAAGACAGGATTTGAACCGAACCATGCAAAGGTCTCTCCTAGCCAGAACAACAACATCTTAGACAGCTCAGGCATTGATCAGTGATAACAAACACTGCAAAGACAATACTGGTATACTCTATACCCAAGTGTACCCCAGTAACCTTCTCATGGGTTGCACACCAGTCCTAACCAAGACAGGATTTGAACCGAACCATGCAAAGGTCTCTCCTAGCCAGAACAACAACATCTTAGACAGCTCAGGCATTGATCAGTGATAACAAACACTGCAAAGACAATACTGGTATACTCTATACCCAAGTGTACCCCAGTAACCTTCTCATGGTTTGCACACCAGTCGTAACCAAGACAGGATTCAAACCATGGATCTGCAAAGGTATCCTAGCCAGAACAACAACATCTTAGACAGCTCAGGCATTGATCAGTGATAACAAACACTTCAAAGACAATACTGTACCCAAGTGTACTGCAGTAACCTTCTCATGGGTTGAACACCAGACCTAATCAAGACGGGATTTAAACCATGGAAATGTGTCTCCTAGCCAGAACAACATCATAAGACTGCTCAGGCACTGATCAGTGATAACAAACACTGCAAAGGCAATACTGGTATACTCTATACCCAAGTGTACCCCAGTAACCTTCTCATGGGTTGAACACCAGTCCTAATCAAGACGGGATTCAAACCATGGATCTAAAAAGGTGTCTCCTAGCCAGAACAACAACATCTTAGACAGCTCAGGCATTGATCAGTGATAACAAACACTGCAAAGGCAATACTGGTATACTCTATACCCAAGTGTACCCCAGTAACCTTCTCATGGGTTGCACACCAGTCCTAATCAAGACGGGATTTAAACCATGGATCTGCAAAGGTGTCTCCTAGCCAGAACAACAACATCTTAGACAGCTCAGGCATTGATCAGTGATAACAAACACTGCAAAGGCAATACTGGTATACTCTATACCCAAGTGTACCCCAGTAACCTTCTCATGGGTTGAACACCAGTCCTAATCAAGACGGGATTCAAACCATGGATCTGCAAAGGTGTCCTAGCCAGAACAACAACATCTTAGACAGCTCAGGCATTGATCAGTGATAACAAACACTTCAAAGACAATACTGTACCCAAGTGTACTGCAGTAACCTTCTCATGGGTGAACACCAGACCTAATCAAGACGGGATTTAAACCATGGAAATGTGTCTCCTAGCCAGAACAACATCATAAGACTGCTCAGGCACTGATCAGTGATAACAAACACTGCAAAGGCAATACTGGTATACTCTATACCCAAGTGTACCCCAGTAACCTTCTCATGGGTTGAACACCAGTCCTAATCAAGACGGGATTCAAACCATGGATCTGCAAAGGTGTCCTAGCCAGAACAACGACATCATAAGACAGCTCAGGCATTGATCAGTGATAACAAACACTGCAAAGACAATACTGGTATACTTTATACCCAAGTGTACCCCAGTAACCTTCTCATGGGTTGCACACCAGTCCTAATCAAGACGGGATTTAAACCATGGATCTGCAAAGGTGTCCTAGCCAGAACAACGACATCTCAGACAGCTCAGGCATTGATCAGTGATAACAAACACTGCAAAGACAAGGGAGTATTTCATTTGGTCCAAAATCGTTTGGTCCACAAGTTGTAAAACAGTTCGTTTGGTCCAAAATCGTTTGGTCCACAAGTTGTAAAACAGTTCGTTTGGTCCAAAATCGTTTGGTCCACAAGTTGTAAAACAGTTCGTTTGGTCCAAAATCGTTTGGTCCAAAAGTACAGGCAAAACCAGAATTACAATTGTGCATTGTGGAGTAAACTTATGAAATAGACTGTACGTTTCACTGTGGACCATTCGATCGGGTCGTTTTATCCAAAACTCTAATACGAGTTCGTTTGGTCCAAAAGTATGAACTATTGCGTCCCTCACATAGAAGGCGTTCAAATAATCGCCGTCACGTCGTCAGCCGAACCGCCTGCCTTCCGAGGCCT